AAGAGTGGCTGGATACTCAGGTGAGGGTCCAGTGACCCTGCTTGGCACTCCTTTAATGAATGAGCACAACCATCAGCAAGCCAAATTTTAGCGATCAGGCTCAGCCAAAGTCGTGATGATGGTAGTTATTTCATGCAGAAGGGACTGCTGTATAGAACCTTCTTATTAAAAGGACCTGGAATTTAAAAGGATTTGGTGCTAGGAGCCACATATGAGGGAGAATTTACGCTGTTTGTTTTTCTGAGTCTGTGTTACTTCACTTAGTATAACAGTTTCTAGATCCATCCATTTACCTGAAAATTTCATTATTTCATCTTTCTTTACTGCTGAATAGAACTCCATGGTGTAAATATACCACATTTTTTTAACAACTCGTCAGTTGAGGGACACTTAGGTTGCTTCCATCTCTTAGCTATTGTGAAAAGAGCAACAACAATCATGGTTGTATAAGTGTCTCTACAATAGGATAAATCCTTTGGGTATATGCCAAGGAGTGGTATAACTGGGTCATATGGTAGGTTCATTTTTAGTTTTTTGAGAGTTCTCCACACTGTTTTCCATAGGGGTTGAACAAATTTACAGCCCTACCAGCAGGGGATGAGTGTTCCCCTTTCCCCACATCCTCTCCAACATTTGGTGTTATTTGTTCTCTTGATCTTAGCCAGTCTGACTGGGGTAAGGTGAAATCTTAAAGTGGTTTTAATTTGCATTTCCCTAATTACTAACTTTTTGAGATGTTTCTTAGCCATCTTTATTTCTTCCTTTGAGAACTCTCTGTTTAGATCTTTAGCCCATTATTTAATTGGATCATTTGGTCTCTTGAGTCTTTGTTTTTTGAGTTCTTTATATATTCTGGATGTTAAACCTCTGCCCATTGTTTCTCTGGTGAAGATTTTGTCCCATTCTCTGGGTTTTCTCTTCACTTTTTTGATTGTTTCTTTTGCTGTACAGAAGCTTTTTAGTTTAATGAGGTCCCACTTATTGATTGCTGACCTTAATTCCTGAGCAACAGCTGTCTGTTTTAGAAAATCCTTTCCTATACCTATATCCTGTAAGTTACTGCCAATATTTTCCTCTAATAGTTTCAGGGTTTCCAGTTTCACATTGAGGTCTTTGATCTATTTGGAGTTGACTTTTGTGCAAGGTGAATAGTATGGATCTAGTTTCATTCTACAGGTGGAGATCCAGTTTTGTCAGCACCATTTGTTGAAGATGCCTGTCTTTCCTCCATTGTGTGTTCTTGGCACCTTTGTCAAATATCAGGTGGCTGAAATTGCATGTACTCAGATTGTGATCTTCAGTGATGTTCTATTGATCTATGTGTCTGTTTTTGTGCCAGTACCATGCTGTTTTTATGACCATGGCTCTGTAGTATATTTTGAGATCTGATTTAGTAATCCCCCCACTGTTGCTCTTTGTGCTCAGGGTTGCTTTGGCTATCTGGGGTCTTTTGTACCTCCATATGAATTTAAGGATGCATTTTTCTAATTTTGTGAAGAATGTCATGGGGATTTTGATTTGGATTGCATTGACTATATATTGCTTTTGGTAGGATGGTCATTTTCACAATATTCTTCCAATCCATGAACATGGGAGGTCCTTCTGTCTCCTGGTGTCTTCCTCAATCTCTTTCTTTTACAATTTAACATCTTCACCATATAGATCTGTGGTGTCTTTGGTCAGATTTATTCCAAGATATTTTAATTTTTTTGTAGCAATCATCAATGGGAGCTTTTCCCTGTATTCTTTCTCCAATTGCTTGTTATTGGTATATAGAAAAGCTACTGATTTTTGTAGATTGATTTTATAACCTGCCACAAGACTGAAAGTATTGATCAGTTCTAGGACCTTTCTGGTAGAATTTTTGGGATCTCTTATGTACAGTATCATATCATCTTCAAAAAGTGATAGTTTAACCTGTTCTTTTCCAATTAATACTCCTTTAATTTCCTACTCTTGTCTTATTGCTCTAGTAAGAGTTTCAAGCACTATAGTGAAAAGGAATGGAGATAGTGGACAGCTTTGTCTGGTTCCTGATTTTAATTGGAATGCTTCCAGTCT